GAGTGTACGTACATATATACAGGTATGTACGATGCGGCGAGTGGCGTACAGAGCGAAATGCTTTCGCCGGATATCGAGCGGACGTGTAGCCCGGCGCGTAGCGATTGATGGCCGAGCCAATTGGCAGCCGGGCACTTGGCAAGAATGATGCAATTAACCAATAAACACGTTTTCCAACCGGGCAACTGCACGTACATGGCAGAGAGCAAGCGTACACAGCCGGACAAACTCGTACAGGACACACGCGTTGCCGTTGTCGTGGACGTTTGGACGATGGTCGTCGTCGTCGTCGAGGAGAGTCACGTTCCACGTCCACGTCAGACATTCCACGATTATCTGCCTTCCGTGATCGCATTCCCGCTTTGTCTTCGATCCTGTCGCGATAATTCGCTCGACGGTACGTACGTACGGTTCCCTGAAATCGAACGTTCCGCCTTCCGAAACTAAATAAACCGGTTCGCGCGTTCGCTTCATGTATGTAAGTGCTGAACCGATGGGTTTGCATCGGGTTTCCTCAGCTTCTATCGAGTTTCGTTTCCGTGAGAGATTTTTTTATTTTCTCCCTCTGTTCCTTTTTCTTCATCTTTTTCTCTCTTCTTTTTTTTTCCAACGAAAATTTCCAGAGGCAGAAGGGTTACAGTAGGCGTGTTACGCGCGTGTTTAGTCTAACGAGCACGTTTCGTTTTAATATTCGAATGGTGTTTTGCGCGAGTGGGGCAACGTTGGAAGGCACGTTGTTTTATATACACGGGGTACACGTGTAGATACGCGTGGAAAAGCTGTTTTTCTTCGGCGAATCGATAGAGATTCGCATGCACCGGACGCGTTACGCTGGTAATCGTGTAATCTTTCGATCGCGCTAGAATTATCACGTATGTACCGTGGCAATCGATTCCGACATACGCCGATCAATTTCACCCTCTCCCCCCCGACGAACCGACCGAACAATAGACCGATGTAAATAAATACACCACGTGAACGGAGAAATTCTGTCGGCATTAATAAACCATGCGTTGACAAACATTCGCGTTAAACAAACTATAAACATCGATGATCCTAAATATTCTCATTGATAAACGCGAGTCTGGCTGCGTGACTGTTTAAACAGAAAGAGAGAGAGAGAGAGAGAGAGAGAGAGAGAGAGAGAGAGAGAGAGAGAGAAACACGGATCGATTCCTCTCGAGACCAATATCGCAATTGAAAAAGCTCAACTACGCGAATTAATTGTGATTTTATTCCAAACAGTAACAGCAACAATGATTCCAACTTCTCCGCATTGTCCACAATGGATTTGTTGATTTCAAAATTATCCATAGAGGTTAGTTTCAAAATTGTTCGTTAGATTAAGACTATAAGGCTCATTAAAATGTGATTGTGTGAGTGTTTTATTGTATAGGGATTCTAACCCGGGATTACCCACCTGGAGGTCTAGCGCAGGTACATCCCGGTGACATAAATTTTAAAGTAACATGGATTTTAAAGATTTTCATTCATTCTTCAAGTTTCGTAGAAATACAACGTAAAATATGAAGGTAATAGACACGTGCGGACTATCTGCAACAAGACAAAAATCGTGTCCATTCATAAATAGTTTCAGAAATATTTGAACAGCCTTTTCCAACAGTTCACCTTGATGTCGGTTACCCTAATGCCTTTCTCTACTTGGAAATTATCTTAACTACCGTGTAATATGTACTTAGACTTAAGATACCACAATGGAGTAAGATTCGAAATCCGATTCCATCGTAACATTCTAGAATGTTACAGAATGCGTAGAAATCTTAAGATTTTTATTTCTTCGAACAATAACCGTCCGTAGATCACCTATAGTTAGCAACAAGCAAATTACAATCGAAGAGCACGAATCTGAATTTAAACAGCGAACCAAAGAAATCACGTATGAAAGAAACGTCTGATCCAGTTTACAGTTTAGCAAATACGCGAGCTTTGTTGCTTAGTTTTTGATGCTCGATGTCCGTTCACATTGTGTCAAAATAAATAAATATATATATATATATATATATATAAAAAATATATATATAAAATACGAAACAGAGTCCAATAGACCTGTAAAAAAAAAGAGAAGAGAAAAATCAACGAAATTATAGATAACGAGTAACGCGAGAGGCTAAAGCATTATAGCTGCACGTCGGAAAGCTTCAACGGAATAAGTGTAGAATGGAAGTAGAAAAAGGAAGGGAAGACAGACGATCGTTAAAATGTTTGTCAAATACGATGAAATGGGAAATGTTTGAGAAGACGTCATCCATTCGTCAAAGCCGACGTCGTAAAACGCGGTGTTAACTCAATTTTGTTTGCGAGCGGAGGCAACCGGTTTTTACTCGCGATCTGTCGCGGCTCGCGTTACATCGCGAACATTCGAAAACACGGTAGGTAAAAGCGCAGAAGATTGCGAGAGGGATGGGGAAGAAAAAAAAAAAAAAGAGGTGATTCGTAGCTTTTAATGGCGCGCTCGCGTAATAACCGTTCGGGCGGGAAACCGTTCTATTTTTGTCGCTGGCCTATCCGGTTAAACGCGTCGTCGATATGTCAGAAGATAGCGGAGCAAAGGAATTTCGTATCGAGCGTTCCAGTTCGATGACAAGCGGTGACGTGTTTCTTTTTAGCTTTCGCGCCGACTCGAATCATTCGGCACAGATTTCTGAACGATTTCGGAACGATCTTGTATTTTACGTGCGACTTTATGAATAGATCGAGAAGCCCCGAATTAAAATCTCGTATCGCTAATTACACGTTCGCTTGATCGGCGTAATCGAGCGATTTTCTAACACGGGAATCGACGTTCGAGAGCCATATTTTTTATTGGCGCCGCCGATCGAGGGCAAATTAATCTCCGATGCAGTCGGTTCGATCGCCGCCTAATTTTACCGGCGACGCTGGATTAATTAGGTATGAAATTTAAACTGAACGTTAAATGACAGAGCGAACGAACGGGAAAGGCGAAGGATTTGTAAAACATTCAGGAAGAATCAGATAGAAAGTATTACAAAAATTTCAAATGTTATTACGCGCGATATAATTAGTGTTACGTTTTATTAAAAGGTACTATACGTGTTATTACGGATACGGAAATCTTGACGATAAAAGAGCAATTATTTCCTGAAACCTTCGTTCCGAATTCTCTGCAATTATACATACATATTATAAACAGATTAAGGTGACGCTAATATTTCACGATTAGCGTCGTCGAACGATGCGCGACGCTACGTGGGGGACAGAGAGAATTCTCGAATGTGCGAGACATCGGGCACAGAGAGACAGACGGTCGACGAAAAAAAGAAAGGAAAAAAGGAAAAAATAGCACTCCCTTGTCCGCGTGCAGGCTGCGCAACGATTAGCTCGAATTACAGTCGCTAAAGCATGTCGCTCGGCGCACGTTGCCCGGCCACGGTGTCATTAGCGGGCTCCGGTAATTTCTTCTTCCATTTGCTCCGGCGTACGCGAAATTTTCGTGACGAACGTGGCTCGCGTGTCACCGCTCGTTAAAACTACTCGCCTCGTCTCGTCTTCCATCCGAGGAACACCTCTTTCCCCTGCTGTCCCTTCACGGCCGCGTGTACCCGGGTGTTCTTATTTCTCCTGTTAAATAACGATAAGATTAAGCGTCACCGGGCCGAGTGCAGGAAGGGTAAAGTGATAATAATTGTTTGCAGGGAGTTGAGGCGGAAAGGTCGTCGATGGTTACCACCCCATTCCAAAGGGGATGGAACGTCGGTCGCTTGTAACATGGTGTGCACGCGTGTACAGCGTATACACGCCGAACTGTAGAGCACACACACACACACACACACACACACGCCCGCGCGCGCGCGCGCTCTCTGAGTTCGGAGTCACTGGGACGAAAAGAGGCTGAAGCAGGGTAGGGAAGGGTATCGACATGCTTGGGAGGGGCGAAGAGAGACGCGGGGTGCACGAGACAAGTAAGAGGTCGAGGATGAAACGACTGTTGGCGGTGAGATACCGAGGTCGAAAATGAGAGAAACTAAACGAGCGTGACGAGGATGACGGATGAACCGAAAGCAGGCTAAACTTCAATCTGAGAGGTTCGTGACTACAAACAGGACAAATGTAAACTAACCGAAAAGCGTTGGTCCACGGTGGAAGGCTTTCACCGATTGTAGTTACCATACCGGAACGAAGCGACGGAAGGACGGACGAGAGATTTGAGAAGAGGGAATAACTTTGTTTGCAATATAAAATAAATTTATGTCTGGTTTATATTGTTACTTGTTTACTTTCGGTTTGCAGTTGGAGGGAAGACGAAGTTGGAGAATTGCAGTAGTTTGGTTCGATTCGATTCTTTTCGATAGTCGATTCGAGGTTATAGACCTATAGTGAACGTTCGCACGCGTCGAAACGCAAACGATAATCGTTTGAAAACGATTCCAGATGCCTGCAGGTAATTTAATTTAATAAATGCATCGAGAAGGAATCGCGGTAGCGGCATTCGTTATGAAGCGATCAAATTTGCATGTAATAAAGAGGAAGGTTAACATGGGTTTTCCGGTGCGCGTTAGCGATGTTCAGCGTGTCTGGAGTAATAATTTAATACGCGCACGGCGTAATGCAGCTACAAACTCACCGCAAGATCTACCGCGTGCAAATCTCGTTTTTGTGTAAGTAAAAATGCAAAGCGGATCGCGACGAACGGATTCCTCCTCCTCCTCCCCCCTCCCTCCTCACCCCGCCGTCTAGCTGAAACGTAGTACAGAAAGAGCCCGTCCATGCCGCGCGCGCAACCGACCAGACCGGACGGAAAAGAGACGAACGAGCTAAGAGGCTGATTGTCGGAGGCGCGAAAGCGAGAAAGAGAGGGGACGACCGCGCGGCTGGATGAGAACGAGCGAGACGAGAAAGACGAGCAAAGGGGAGACCACGTGGTGTCGCGGTAAGCAGTGGGAGGGCGTAGCGGGTGATGGTGCGGGAGAAGGAGAGGGAAAAGCTTCCCCTCGACTCTGCGGTTGATTAGTTGATACCCGTCCGTCGTCGAGGGTAGATCGCTCGAAGTGTACGTCTTATGTGTGTGCCGTCGGATATTCGTGTCGTGTAACTACTAACGTGATTCGACACCGCCGTGTACGTGAATGTTCCCCATTCCATGCGCGCGTCGTACGTTGCTTTTTCCGTCGCAGTGTGTATTCGTTGTGAAAACGAGTAGCAAGTGAGTAGTGGCTGCCACGAGAAAGACGAAAGTGACAGTGCTTTGTGCTGTGTGCTCTCTCGCCTCGAGACTCTTCGTTTCTTTCTCTTTGTGCCCTTCTTCGTCCCGGTTCCATTGCTTTGTTTCTTTTTTTCATTGCTGACCAGTGAATAACAGTGCGTACTGGCTATGACCTGGGATACCATCGGATATACCTGAGGATAACGGAGACATATCCATTACTCCTGACAGGACTCCGTCGTGACGGGTGGAAGTAACATAACCTCTTCGAGGGCCTCTGACGATAAGATGTATCCCAGTGCCAGTATAAACGCAGCGGCAGCTGTGGCTGTGGCAGCTGCGGCACGGCACCCGGTAAGTGCTTTTATTTTCTTTTTCTCGCTTGTCGATCTTTTTTTTTTCCTCTCTCCCCGTTTTCTTTCCCTTCTTCTCCTCCTCTTGCGTATACACGCTCGATAGGAATGACTGGCACGACCATCGCGATAAAAATAAAACGGCAAAGGATTTGAAGTATCGAGACATCTCGTATTGAGCTCTACGAGGTGGGGAGCGTTTGGATTTTCGCGTTTAGTCGCGCCGAACCGTGTGATTCGATCCGACGCTACCGATACCAACAACTTTCGATCGTACAAAAGTCGTATAAAATCGCCTACTTTTTACGGAAATTAATTGTGAGCTTCAATAACTATTTATACGCAAATTACAACGAGCGTGTAACTAGCATTTACGCGATGCTTAATCATCGTATTTATAATTATCAGGTCGTGCACGTAATGAAAGAATCGGTTTTTCTGCGAATCGGCAACGTAAACGTATCCTTTTTTCCGCTCCGCACATTTTATATTTTTGTTTATTGTAATTCTTATTTATCGGGATATTATATGAGGAGTGACGAGGCCGATTAACTTGAACCGGTGACCTCGCTATATCTTGCTGTCAATAGCCAACGATTATCAGCACAAAGCAACCGTGAAAACATTCAGATTCGCGGTCAGATTAACGTTCCACCATAACCGATGTTTCCCTCGACATTATCGTGTACTTGCACACCGTGCGTGCGTCCTCCTCGTCGCGGATATTACGACCAAACCGGTGAAATTAAATTTAACCTTCCTCGTTAAAAAGGTTACGACAGACTGGCAATTTTACATGTCGTAAGGAATAAGGTTGTAAAAATTGCACGTGGTAATAAACAATCGTCGCGCGTATTTTTATTTTTTACCTGAAGCGTCTTGAACAGTCAAGCTGTTTTTCCGATGTTTTCGCTATTGAAACGAAACCAAGAAATATTTTCTTTCGATTTGAAATTGTTGTTGGTTTTTTTTTTACGTGAATAGTTCTTGTAACTTTAGAACACTTTGAAACTTTATTTTTGTAACATTGTACAGCACGATTTACTTACGTGAATCACCAGTCGCTTGAGCTGAATGACAAATTATGGAATGTGTTAGTCGAGTGCTCGACAAATATTGAGTGTCAATGTCTTGTGACGAATGTCTGGTTGAAAATCATGGTGAAGCGCGTAAGTGGCAGATCTTGGAAACTTTGATTCGGACACGTGCTTACGATTCTCGTTATAATAAACGTACAACGTTATTTTTCTTACGAAAAACGACAGCATCGAACTGTCTGGCATCGTTATAGCTTTCAAGCGGCAAATGACAAGCGTGCACAAATACCGACTGATTCGAGAAACGGAGCTTAAACGAAAATCAGATACAATTAAGTCAGCAGTATACATCTCGCAATGACTTGCTTTCGATATTTCTATGACACATACATAGGTCGTAATTCTCGTTTCGCCACGGATATCGTCCACGTATCGCGTATCCTCGCGATCGAAAATGCTTCCGATAAGTTTCGTTCGTTGCAGTACCGGTCGGAGCCTCTATCCATGCTAATTCGAGATACCGATATATCGACCGGTATATGGGTGCCAGGTCCATAGACTCTTTCTACCGTCGGATGGATTCTCGTAGCCCATGGTCTATGGTTCCGTCCATTCCCCCTCTCTTCTCCCCCTACTCTTCCCTTTCATGCATCGCCGTTAGTCAAAAGGAATAAAAAAGGCAGACCTGAAAAGTACTGTCAGAATGGATTTTTTTCCCTTCTTGTTTTTTTTATTTTTTTTTTTCGGAGCCGGTCGTCGGAACGGTTGCGACGGCAGGCGAGTCGCGCGCGCGCGAGAGTATACCCGCTCTGCCAGACGGACTCTTTCGGATCGTTAGTCGAATGAATCCGGTCCCGTATTTATTTTCTCTCGATAGTTTACCCACGTTCTGCACCCATCACCCTCTCCACTCTCTCCACGCCCTTCCCTTCGTCGCTGCCTCTATCATTCTCTTCCTGCAAAGTACACACACGCGGCAGAAACTCTGACTCGCGCGCGAGACAAAGTTTGCTCACGCGTCTGTGCGCTAAATACCTATGGCGCTCCTCCTGTGTATAGATACGCGTCCGACGAAATTGACACGAACCTAATTTTTTTCTTTTTTTTTTTTTTTTTGTGTGTGTTTCTACGTCCAGTTTTTTCGGACCTTTAGTCCGAGCTTCGTATTTACTGCGCGTAGCACAGCTACTGAACATGAAAGGGACATGTGTGCGTGGTATTGGTAAACGTGCGGACGTTTGATGTGGAAACGCCTTAAACTTCGCGTGGAAGTTATTTCCGAATTGGTATCCTGTTTACAATCTTTCATTCATAATAAGTAATTGATCTGTGGTTGTTCGAAATTACATCGTGACAGACAAGATTTCGAGATTGATGTACATTAGATTGTAATGTCATACCTCTGGAAGAAGTTCGGGAATTCTTATCTGCCGAAATGTGTCTCGAATTGCGTGTTTTGAAACGTGTGACTCAACTACTCGCTGATTTTATGACAGACCCATACATACGTAAACAATGGCATGCCTGCGTCACATCAGCTTGTCGGTATTTTGTTTCGTTAATAGACCACCGTTATTCCCACCGTATGGGAGTGAGCCACTTATTTTGTTCAATGAAAAAACATTGAATGAGTGAGAAACACCGAGAAGAATTCCTCGAATTGTAGCTGTCAGATAAGATCACGACCCTTGGCTAGTTGATGTTCCACTACTGTATATTGTTTTCATCTAATATACGCGTTCGTTCGATCGCGAGGTTTTCGTATATCTTATGTGTTTGCGTTGCACAGCGCGGGTGCGCTGTATACAGACGGATACACGGACGGTGGCGCAGAAACGGCCGAAAAACGAACGAACGAACGAAACGAAACGAATGACTGAACAGGGGGGACGCAGTTGGGAAAGAGATCGCGAACGAGCGTTGGGGTCGCCGACGGAATAATATTTGGCCGGCGTGCAAATTTCCATTCGGCCGTAAACAGGCCGCGAGCCGAGGCGGAAAAGCTCGTGTCGGGAATACGACGAAAATAAATGCGTGTATCGTGACCGCCGCCGGCCAATATCCGCAATTACATTATGTTTGCTATACCGTGGCACACCGGTTGGCCGACGTATCGACGATTACCGACCGAGCAAACGGCGGGAGTCGAAGGAAGAGTGAGAGGAGGAAAAAAAAAGGGTTCGCGGGAGGGGAGCGGGAAGGAAATAAATCCCGGATAAGAAGGGACGCTTCTGTCGCGTGGAATTATTTGAAACTGCTGGAACATTTCCAATACGGTATATCGAAAGTGGAGCAGATTTGCTGCTCGCTTTAAAAGCCTGGTTTAGGCGATCCATTTTTATTCGACGTTCTGCTGCACAATCGTTTTATTGTCCCGACCATATAACATATGCGCGTCATCGAACACGCTTCTTTCCGTCGCGTACCCCCTCCATCAAAGATTTATAACGCGTTTGATGTGAATGTGCGTTTACTTGAAACTATAGGACTCTGTAAAATTATACAGAAGCAGTTCTGGATTTTTCTTTTTTTTCGTTGGAAAGAAAGGTGTGTAAAAAAGAATTCTATATAATTCCTATAGCATACATACACACATATATATATATATACACACATACATATACAAAAATTAGAGGTTAGAAATTCTTGATTCGTGAAAAATAGTTTTGTGAAGAGGTTATGTTATGAAATAATTGCTGTAGTATATCTACGAACACGAGTTTCGTCGTAAAGATGAAACATTTCAACAAATTCTTTTCGTAAATATTCGCCATATAAACGAGAAAAATTGTAATCTTCGTTACTTCAGCCTATAACTATACTAAGCGCAGCCGTAGAACCTGTTCCTACATAGCCGCGTTTTTATCCGATCGTAAACGATTCTGCGTTTAACCGTACTATCGGTAAGTCGATGGAAGTCGGTTATTCCTGTTTTATCGCCGTAATACGCGCCGTTTACAGGTTTCCGTAATCGATATGGGAGCTGCTTATAAAATCTACCCCGAGGACACGCCGCCTCGTTGCGTCTTTCCACAAGCGTGTTTTATCCATTGTCAGTTCGCCGCTACTTCGGGCAACTTCTCGGTATCTTAGCTTTTTATGTTTTAATCCGGTAATCCTATTAACGTCGAGCGATCGTAAAATTCGAGCCCTCGCTCCAGCGTGGTTATAATTTACAAAAGGGACGAGTCGATTGTTGACAAGTACCTGCAATGTAAACACAGGTGCATGGATCTCAAAAGGCGAGAGAAAGAAAAAAGAGAGAGAGAGAGAGAGAGACAGAAAAAGTAGAAAAAGGTGTATATCTCTGTAGTGACCGGTATGTTTGCCTGTCATTGTCGGTCTCAATTGTTTGGCTAGCTCGTTACACCTGGAACTCCTACTTTTATTGATTCTTCGCAGTTCCAAATAATATTTTTCGAGTAAACGCGATTCGGTCTGACGCGAATGCCGTTCAAAAAGACTTTTTAGCGAAGAGATGGTTGGGCATAGGCGTAAAAGATCTTTGTTCGAGGAGACATTTGAGTCGAGAAAAGTTGGTTTGAAATGTCAATTGTACGACAATCGAAAGGACGACGAATATTATTAATTATTGAGAAAATCAGAGTTTGCTTGGTAAAATACTCGGAATGTTCGAATTAATTTTGTTAATTTCAATGGAGATTAGATTTTTAGTAATGTGAATTTGAAAGGTAATAACTTTGTATATTTTATTTATTTTTTTTACCGTCTTCTTAACGGGATTTTACTTAAGCTCCAAATAGTCTTTCAACATCCATCTAGCGAATTTTTACATCACGTGTGATCAAAAGCTTCGATCAAAGTGCAATTACATTTTCACGCATCTTCATTACTCGCAGAGGTTCTTCTCGTTATCGATCGATCGGATTTAACAAAAGATCGAAATTACGTCTGCCGCGTCACGTCCATTAAATAAAAAACGCAAGGCCAGAGAACGAAGAAG